GATATGAAAATAACTAAAAAATTAGATTCAATTATCAACTGCTCTTAACAAAAATAGGATTGACTATGGATTCGAGCATAACATATAGTTTCATAAAACTAAGTAATTTTTCTAATCTAAATCAAGTTGATTTTACATGAAGAATGTTTGACTCAGCATGTTCTATTTGATATATATAAGAGAAGCGATATTTTTTTCTTAAAAGATAGGAACCAAGTAAAGAGGATAGAGATCAACCCCTTTTTACTAGCTTAAAAATTCAATTAACATCATTAGTATAAATATGTTTGAGTCATTCATCAAAATCTGTTAATTTTATTTGAAACAATTTTGGTGAATGCATTTGCTTCAATGTAATTCAAAATATTTTCCACAATAAAAAATCTTATAGTCCTTCGTGCATCTCCCATACAACCTTCTCTCCTTTACAAAATCTAAAACCATCTCTATTTCTAAACCATTTGAAAGTGTAAATATTTTTTAAAATAATTATTCAACAAATTTTTTCCATTCACTCATTATTTATTTTCAATCTTTAATCTCTTAATAAAATTTAGGCATTTATTTACTATGTTAAAAAAATATAGATATTCTATATACAAAAGAGACATACGACTAATTACATATATAATATGGGAGTAGGTAAGATTTTTTTAATGTCTATTTTTGCCTTGATGAAAGACTTAAGTTTACAAATTTAAATTTAAGGATGTATTTGAAAACAAAAATAGTTTTTAGTAGTTAATTGCACAATTTTAAATAAATAATGGGGGCGGATTTGAGCATCATCATGGCATTGCGGGAAAAAGAAATAATATAGAAAGTTGAGGACTAAAACGACAATTCCGCTTAAACCTCTCCTCGTTTCAGAGCTAAACCCAAAACCCTAGACTCTCGCTCGTCCAACCCAGAGTCCCCTGTTTCTGTTTAACTTTGGGCTTCCTCTCATTCCTTGCTTGTCTTCCTCTAAACCTTGATAAAGAAAACAGGGGCGAGATACAATCTCCTAATGGCGTCACATTCACTGAAGAAGAACTATAGGTGTGTTCCGTCGTTGCAGCAATTCTATAGTGGTGGCCCCTTCGCGGTCTCCTCAACTGGTTCATTCATCGCATGCGCTTGCGGGGGGGACTCCATTAAGATCGTCGACTCGTCCAATGCATCGATCAAATCAACAATCGACTGCGATTCTGACACCATTACGGCCTTGGCTCTTAGTCCTAATGACAAGTTGCTCTTCTCTTCGGGACACAGCAGGCAAATTAGAGTCTGGGATTTGGAGACTTTGAAGTGTGTGCGGTCGTGGAAGGTTAAAACTATTACTTTGATTCTTTTTAGCTTCGAATTTAAGTTTGGTGTTGTTGCTGGAGTATAGAATTTCTTTAATGGAGGATAGTATGATAATATGGTTATTGGTTAGATATTGTGTTGTACAGTATGTCTATTCAGCCAGAAGCAAAAAAGCTGTTTGTCTTTGGAACGGGTTTTGTTTTTCCTTGGTGTCTTGTTTTGTTGTTTATGTAAATTTACTTATGCAATTTTCCAGGTTTGAGTTGTTCTTTGTTTGGATTGTCGGAAAATTATAAAGATAGTGGGAATGCAAACAAGCTACGCCCTTCAGAGAAAAATGGAATACATACACTTTATGGGTTGTGAAATTGGAATAATATTCTTGGAGCTATGCTAAATGCACGTAGAAATTTCACAACAACAAATGAACTTGCTGAATATTATCATTGTTAAAGACATGCAGTACTTCCTACTTGATCTTTTTTAAGTTATTTACTTGGTGGGCGCTCTATAAAGAAATTATGCTGTCACTAGTTTGTATATTTCCTGCAGGTCATTTCTATGCGTTATAAAAGATCTTTATTTTGTTTTGTTCTTATCTTCTGGAGTTAAGTGGATACAGAACTGAATGTAGGAATACCCTATGTTTGTATACGTGAATGGCAATTGAATATTGTAACTGGAATTAAGTAATGCTCGCTTTGAGTACTTGGTAAACAGAAGTGAAATGTTGAATTTATCTGTTCTTGACAAACAAATAAGTGCTTGAATAAACTTTGAATCATGTCCATTTAACTGAATAATCTAGATTGCCTATGCTCACTAATCTTGAAATACATTCAAATTAGGCTCAGTTTGGCTCCATGGAAAATTATTTAAACAACATTATGAATTCTTTTTGTAAGATGCAGCAGAACTTGTTGGATTTACTAAAGGGAAAGAAGAATTGAAGCTGCCTTGATGATTTAAATTGTTTATTTTCTGTTCTGTTTCTTGTCTTGTTGCTGTGAAGCTGACAGCAATAGAAATAAAAGAAACAGTAGATTCTACTTCTTCTTCTGAGAGGGGAAAACTGGAAAGTCTGGTGGTATACTTGGCATAGGAAAACTTAAAATCTATTTGTACTGTTTTAAAAGAAACTTTGTAATTTCAGATCCTGATTGTTGCATTATGAGGTTTATTTGAGTATATAATTCCTGTTTTAGTTGATTACCATTTTATGGTCTGAATTTTGAATTCCTTTATATCTTATTTTGTAATATTGCTTCATGCCTGTTTATTTCTGGACTGTTTGCAATATAAATATTTTATATTTACAATTACTTGATTTTGTGTTGAGTAGGGCCATGATGGTCCTGTGATGGGCATGGCTTGTCATGCATCTGGAGGATTGCTTGCAACTGCTGGAGCCGATAGGAAAGTCCTTGTTTGGGATGTTGATGGTGGCTTCTGCACTCATTTCTTCAAAGGTCATAAAGGGGTTGTGTCTAGTATCATGTTCCATCCTGATCCAAGTAAAATTCTTGTAAGATCCAAATTGAAGGCATTAATATTATGGTGTTTATGTACTTAATTTGCAGGAACATTAGTTTTTCATAAGTTTTTAAATTTGTTCTTAATTGATTATTCTGATCATTTTGATAGCTTTTCTCTGGAAGTGATGATGCGACTATCAGAGTCTGGGATCTTCTGTCTAAAAAATGTCTTGCAACCTTAGAAAGGCACTTCTCAACCGTAACTGCTTTGGCAGTATCTGAAGATGGATGGACCTTGCTCAGTGCTGGGAGAGACAAGGTAGGGCATCACTTTTTTCTTACTTAAATATGGAGGAACTCTTTGACAAACTATTTGGATAACATGCATATGAATTGTTCATGTTTTGTTTTTTTTTCTTTTTGCTTCCCAAGTTTCTTTTTCAGATACACAAAATGTTGATAGCATCACTCTACCTTCTTCAGTTGTATCCTTAACAAACATAAACAATAATTGCTTATACTATCTTGGACTTTAACCTGTATTTGGGCCATTTACAATCCATCTTAACTTTTTGGTAATGGGACTGTCTTTCTGCCTAAATTTTAATTGTTGCGGTATGGAATTCTGAATTCCATTACCTAATAGATTCTTCCTTTAAAAAATCTTATCTGATATTGCTTTGTTATTTTAGTCCCTTTGTATATCTTGAATCAATTTCAAGAAAGGAAACTATTTTGATATTGGATATCTTTCCTTCCTTTTGAGGGTGCTATAAATAAACTTCATGAGTTTGCCGTAGAGACTAGATACATATTTTTGCAAAAGCTGTTGTGCCATTTTGTGTTAGGGTACTGTATAAATTGTTGGTTGTTCCACTTCAAATGATATTAAGACGTATTGCTTCTTATTTGCATGATCAAGATGACATATAAGTTTACTTATCAATGATTACAGGTTGTAAATCTTTGGGACCTTCATGACTATGTCTTCAAGACGACAATTCCTACATATGAGATTATTGAAGCTGTGTGCGTAATTCAGTCTGCGACTCATTTTGCCTCTGTTTTTGGTTTGTACAATCAAAAGAGTAAGAAGAAAAGAAGTGGGTCACAACCAACTTATTTTATCACAGTTGGTGAGCGTGGAATTGTGCGCATATGGAAGTCTGAAGGGTAAGACTTGATAGCACAAAAATAAAGTGATTTCTATTATATTTTTGGTGGGGGTGCGACTGCTGATTAAAAAGCTCTGTGTATGAATAATTGAGATTGCTATTTGGGGTTCAGCTTGTTTTCACAAAAATGTTTCCAGCTTTATTAAAATGTATTTGATGGTATTGCCATTCTTATTTATTTTGACAGTGCAGTTTGCCTATATGAACAAAAGTCCTCGGATGTAACTGTCAGTTCAGACAATGATGAGTCCAAGAGAGGCTTCACTGCTGCAGCTATGTTGCCCTTGGATCAGGGATTGCTTTGCGTGACTGCTGATCAGCAGTTTCTTTTTTATTCCGCAGTGGAAGATTCTGAAAAGGACTCAAAGATAATATTAACCAAAAGGCTTGTTGGATATAATGAGGATATAATTGATATGAAGTTTCTTGGTGAGGAGGAGAAGTTTCTTGCTGTTGCTACAAATCTAGAGCAGGTACATGGAAACAAATAGAAGGAGGTTCATCTGCTGCATATAAATTCTATGCATTTCTGTGGGTTTGAGACTTAAGAGATAGGGAAAGATTGTCAAGTATTTGTAACGGTAACAACCATCTGGTCCTGCTTTGAGAAATAACCCTATCTTGTGAATTCATCCACGATCTACATTGCTTTTGTTGAGGATTTGGTAGATTTTTCAATTGATTTATAGATATCAGTCAGATTTAGTTGGCATTTGCTGACCTACTCTCATGCATGGAATTTTAGTTGGCATTTGTCGACTTGTCTACTTTTACAAGTGAACTATTTTGTGTTAGACTTTTATAGTTCATAATATCTTGAATATGTGTCTTGGTGTGCTGTTAGATGATTTTTTATGTTTAATTTGAAACTATATGACATCTTTTTAAATAAACTGGGCTTCAACTGAGTCTGTTCATGTTATCGTAGATGCTTGAGTTGGCAAATCTATCATAACTAAAATATGTATCATATCCTTCATAAGTTAATTTGAAGGGATATTTCCTAAGGAAATTATTTTCTCCATTCTCTTCATGATTGATTACCTTTCACCATCTAACTATCTCAATGTAAAAAGAACAGAGTTTCTGAAACTTCTACTTTTCACAAACTTCTATTTTTTTTTTTCTTTTTTTTTGTCTTAGAGTTAATTTACAATCTGTCTCATTCATTAGTTTGGCCCGACTTATCTACTTATCTATGCATGGGTTGTGGGTGTTTTTGCAGATGGACATTTCTTTTTTCAATTTTCTCTTTCTGTAAAAGCATGAAACAATATCTTACATGTGTGCAATTTGAAGTTTCAGTTCCTAATATTTATCTTTATTTTTTTTCCAAATGCAGATTCGAGTTTATGAACTTGCATCCATGTCATGTTCATATGTATTATCAGGTCACACTGAAACTGTTCTAAGCCTTGATACATCTGTATCAAGTTCAGGAAGAGTACGTATAGTAACAGGAAGTAGGGACAATACTGTAAGTTTATTTTCCTCCCTCTAATTACGCAGCAATAATGGAAGGTTTATTCTATTGTTTTTGTTGGCTCCACCTGTGCAGTATCCTCTCTGATACTGCAAAATACTAATAAGGGCTTAGCTTTCTGGTTTTATGCTCACTGGGTATCCCCATTGTTCAAAGACATATTTGCTTATTGTAAAGAATGTTTATGCATCTATGATTCATTCATGTATAGGTAAGGTTGTGGGATTCAGAAAGCAGATCTTGCATTGGAATTGGCATAGGTCATACAAAACCTGTTGAAGCTGTAGCCTTTTCAAAGAAGCTGCTAAATTTCTTTGTTAGTGGGAGTGGGTTAGTGTTTTCCGATAATATTATGTCCCTCTTTATTTCTTTTTGTTTGGTGTGCTTATTTTGTTCATTCTTTATTTGTATTTGTTCTTTGATGATGCTTTGGGTTGCAGGAATTATTACTTAATGTTGGAAACTATATCTTGGAGAAAGCTTAATGGTAGAGCTTTCTATGTTATTAAGTTTCTAAATGTTAAGCATCATAAATAGTAAATCCTTCTCATTCCTAAAACTGCAAAAGCCTATGGATTCTAGTATAGGAGCTGCAAGTTGATTTAGAGGTTATGTTCTTGGTTTTCACAATCTCTAGGGAAATGTGAGTTGTTCTCTCTACCTTGGAAGGTATCTTCTTTATTATTTGAGTGATGGGTGAGTAGGATGGACTTTAAAGCTTTGATTTTGGTGTTGGGTATTATGGTTGGAGTGTAGTGCTATAAATTTTAATAAACTCACCTAACGTTCCCTGTTTATTTGAGAGAGGGTCATGTTTTTGGCTTCTTTTTGGGCTAAGAGGCACATAATTTTCCAGATATGCCTTTATGAAGTTTGAAAGGGAATTAGGAGGCTATTCTATGCTTTTTTGAGAGAAAAGATAAAAGAGAAAATGTGTAACAAAAGATCAATGGGCGCTGCCCATATACAAAAGATTTACAAATCAGTCTAAATATCTAACAGGCCCCTTAAGACATCAGCACTATTCTATTCTATGCCAAGGCCTTTTTCATTATATTATTTTGTATTCTTTTGTTTTGATAGAAAAGAAATATTATCAGGAAGAGAAAGAGAACCTTACAAATGGGGAGAATAATATCCCTTCTAGAACCTTCATATAGAAGGTTCTGTAACAGAGATGTAAAAAACATATAACTGAACTGGAAAAAGATACAAAAAGAATAGAGATCTCTTGACCTTAGGACTATGAAGCTATTGCTTCCCAACTCCTGTGGAGCACGGATAGAGCGATATCAGAAAACTGCCCATGAGCTTTTGCTCATTACAGAGCCAATAATGTTATCTGATCCCATAAATCCTGGCTGCTTGAAAAAGAATTATTAAAAGTCCAAAGATCCTTTTCTAGCCGTAAAGTCCATAGTCCTGCAAAAATAGCTCCTCCCTACTGGGGTTTGGCCACCTTTCAAATCCCCACTCCACATACATTTTGTTTCTTGTATTCTGCTTTAAACTTTCTTTTTCCTATAATAGGATGCCTTATTCTCACTCTTTTTTGTAGATTTCTTCTGCCCTTCTTAATAATATTTCATATTTTATTAACAAAAGGGATTTAATTCAACAAAGTTTTGCCCTGAATTAAGGGGATAGTTCTCGGTATCCTTTTTCTCCAAGGTATCTGGTCAAAGGCCATATATTCTCTGTAGGATCCATGTCCATGATATCTAGCTATATCTTCTGCTGAAGTAACCTATAGCAGTCTTCTTCCTTTATGCTAACTTGGGATTTCGTATATAATTAGACAATGAAGGCAGATTTAGGCTGGCTTATAATTTTGATAATTCAGCTTATGAATTTCTTATCGCTCTGTGCAACACCTTCAAATGGTGGCTCATCATCCTCAATAGTTGATTGTGGTATTGACATGAATTTACTTATTTGTAAACTGTATTATCTTTCGTGGTTATATAAATATAGTACAGGTTCTGTATTCTAATTTTCACTAGTAATAATTTATACTTTTTAAATTAATATTTAATTATAGATCTTTGGAACTTCGAAAAAGAAACTAAATTATTACGAAGAAATTATTTTAAGTTGAATTGATAAATTGCACATTTGGTTCACAATGCATTGATACGCACATACACATGATTTTATCTCTTATAATAAATTATATGTTAAAGTAAAATCTTTGCACTAGATCAACATGTAAAAAAATGTCCATTTGTGCACAGGCATGTGAGCTAGTGAAAGGTAATTCCTAAAATTTAAAAAGAAGATCCCATTTTCATTATTGCGAAGGTTGAATATCTTGTGTTTTGGTTGGTAGACTACAATTTTCTATATTTTTTGAGCGAGAAAAGGAATAATATTATAAACAAGGCACCGAGGTTGGCCACCAGATACAAGATAAACTTTATAAAATACCAATCAAACCTAGATTCTCTCCATAATTAGGAGAATGACCATTAAACTAAGTAGTAAACATCTGGAACCAATGATATATATATATATATAAGAATATATATTTAAAAGATATAAAAAGAATATTGCATGGTGTACTGAAAATATCTTGCTAACATAGGTTTTACTTAATGTTGGATAGTTTTTTTTTCTATTGTTTTTTTTTTAAGTCTGGGTCTATACCTATTTGAAGGTATAAAGATAGATTATCAAGTTATTGAATGTCATAAGCTTTAGGGTGAAGAAAAACCTTACAAGAAAAACCTTGCAGTGAGTTTACAAGGTATGTCGTTTGATTGGTTTTATGATTGTATGATAAATCTTATTCTCTCTCTAGCTTTCTCTCTCTAGAAATTCCTCTCTAGCTTTTTCTGCCCATTTTGTCCAAATCAAAGGAGTCCCAATGAAATCTTGCGGTCGAAGATTTATAGCTATTGAAAACAAATCATTTTATTTTGTTTGCAAAGGAAGGAAAGTGGATTGTCTACGAATTAGCGAAAGTGGGTGAGGCTTCCGTCGATCGATCTATCTATCTGGATAGAGATGATTACGTTTAGTTTCTTGATGCGCTTGATGAGTTTTGGTGGAGAAGAAAGCCGGGAGTTTGGGCAAAGCATCTAGTGATGAAAAATTATGAGTTGTGGTTTTTGTTTGGAAAGAATAGACGGGGGCTATAACGGTACAATGGGACTGTCAGTTGAAGAGAATTTTCTTTCCAAGTGGTGAGGAGGGGAGAGGATGATGGAAATTACTGGTTGCAGTGTTTGAACTTGCGGACAAACCGGTCAGAAACCAGAAGAGGAACTTCAATGAGTGACCAAAAACAAGGAATATCCCGAAGGATATGAGTACACTGAAACCCAAACCCTCATGGAAAGTTTCCTTCAAATGCCCGCACTGTGAAGTGCCTATAAACGTTACAATGGAGTTGGGTGGGATTCACTCGTACATGGCGGCGTTGCAAGCAAACAAAGGAAGAGAAAAGCGGATGGGGCAGAGGAAGCCCGAAAGCAATGTGAATAGGGTTGGCCTGACTGGAAAGATCCGGATAGGAGAGGATGTTAGGGGAAATTTTCAAAACGCAAGGAGGGTACATCATTTTAGGGAAAAAGGAGAAGCTTTGAAGAACAATGTGGGCCGGTATCAGGGTAAAAAGTTTTAGCTGGACAACAACAAATGTTTCAGATGGAAAGAAAATGAAAAATGGAAAGTGGACCCAGGCCCAGATGTGGGTTCCATCAGCAATTGAAACTCGAGCCCAAGCAGAGAAAGGATTATGAATAAAATTAACCTGATCCGGGGAGAATCCTCCAGTACAAAAGAGGAAGGGCATCCCGAAGTTGAAGAATTAAGAGAAAAACAGATCAGTCAGGCAACTGAAGAGCTAGGGTTTGTGGAAAACGAAAAGATTTTCGACAAAGAAGAAAGCGAAGCAGTTTTTGAGATAAGGGAAGCGAGTCATAGAGAAGAGGACGATATGATTTCAATTTTCTCAACAAAGGAGTTCGAAGGGGATGATGGGTTGAATCATCTAATGGAACTGCAGAAGGAGGAACCGGTACAGAATCTTGATTTGGTTCTGGTAGACGAGGATGCCCAGCCAATCATCCTTGTCAACCAACCAGAAATAGAAGAAATACTATAGATGAGCTTGGAAGACATCACCATTACTGATGGAGGGGTGGAGCATTGTTCCCAGTGGGTCGCCAACAATGTTCAGAAGTTTAGTAAGATGATGGGAGTGTCTCTGGAAGGTAAGGAAGATTTAACTTTCGTTTTCTTTTCTGAAATTGAAAAGAAAAAATTACAAAAAAAGGAATGATCTGTTTTACGAGAAAAGAAAAACATGAGCAATGCTGTTCCTAGAGAGCTAAAACGACTGGAGACTTCTGCCAATTATGATGGAAGAAGTAAGAGGGGAAATAGTAATAGGAGGGGTTAAGTGTAAATGATTGGTAGTGTTATCTCTTGAAATGTTCGTGGGGCAAATAACTGTGGTAAGAGGCTGATCATTTCGGGATGCTTGAAAAAATAGAAACCTATGGTGGTATGCTTGTAGGAAACAAAAATCGAGGAGTACTCTGTTGATGTCATCAAGAGTCTATGGGGTTGGCAAGCTATCCCAACAAAGAGGGTGGCAGGATGATCATGTGGAAGGAGCATTATGTGAAGCTTGCAGATGTGGTTAAAAGGGGCATGCACACTGTCTTGTAGTTTTAAAAATAGTAGAGGAGGTTTTGAATGCATGTATACATGGGTCTATTGAAGGGGGACCAGGGAGGAGAAAAATATCTTACGGATAGGAATTGGAGGATTGCAGAAGCAAAGAATTGGTAAC